GAACTAAAATTCTAGGGTGACACGCAAGTATTTTGTTTGTGTGACCTAATGAAGATTAAAGCTGCAAGTAGAAGTGAAATCAGAGGCACAATAATAATGCAATTTAAGACAAGTTCAGAAGTTACCAACAGTGTTTTACCCCCAACACAAACCATTTCAGCAGAACACTGCTTGCTTGCTGGCTGGCTCTACCGACCATATCTATGAAGATCTAACTACTGGGAGGAGAACGTCTTACGCGTGATTCTGATGGGGAAGCCTTTTGAATTAGTCACCGAGTCTCCCACCCGGAGGCCACCCCTATTTCTGCCCTCCGGGAAGTCGTGGTGCGAGTGACTGTGGATAGATGATGTCGCGGTGGTGATGCTTTCCCTCCCTCTGCAGGAGGGGACTTGCCTTTCTCTTACGGTTAGCAGACTTGGGCGAATGGTGGGCCCCCTTGTGAGCGACGGTATCCCCATAAGGATCCAATTCCCCTTCTTCCAAATTATCGTTCTCCTTTTGCAAGGGCTGCACCGCCCCTTTTGTCATCATTCTTTGGTCGTGCTCTAGCCCGCTTGATGACTTGGACCAACTCTGTCTTCTCTCCCACTTGCTCTTCTCAGCATCTATTACTATTCCGTCCTCCAATTCTCTCTCGATGAGGTCATCGTTGTCCAAAACATCGGCCTTCCTAGTTGTGCCACCACGGGATTTCCTGCTCCTCTCAAGTGCTGCTTTCACTTTGCCTTTGTCAATATTCTTCATGAAGACCTCCTGCAGTGGTGGTGTTCCAGGGCCCCACCGCCATCCAGCTTCTCCTTCATTTGTTTTGTCTTCTCTTCACCACTTTCATCGTTCTGCTTATCACTAGCCTCACCAGCATTGCTGGATGGGTATGTTATGTTTTTTTCAGAACTTGCATGGTCATTGTCACAGTTTTGACCAGCCCTACCATGATTATTAGGAAGCGAATGATAGGAGATTGGCTTTTGGGAGGAGGCTTTGGAGGTCCCGGTCTTTGATGATGTAGCAGTGCCCTTGTGAGAGCTGTTGCTGTTCGGGTTAGGGTCTTCATTTGCACCGGACGGATTTGTTGGTCTCTGAGTACCCACAACATCAGCACACTCTTCTGCTTCACTGGCAAGAGACTTCTGTTCATATAGTTCAAGCATTTGGTTGCTTACCTCTGCAAGAATGTTTAAAAAGAGCATTAATGCAAATGTCCTATTTTATCTTTTTTTGTTTATTTTAAAAATAAAAAAACAATTTCTCCTTGCAAAAAAATAAAGAACATCAACAGTAATAGACCCAGTAAAATCCCACAACCCTTATCCCTACCTGAAAGCAAAGAGGTTGTTTCCAAGAGACCACCAGCTTAAAACACAAGAATACAACGGCAAAGAAAAATAGCACTGACAAAGAGTATAAACAAAAACAAGCACAAATGCAGGAACTACAAACAAAAGCACTACAACACACGTGCAGGAACCACAAACTAAGACGGAAAAGTCTCCTCTATCACCCTAATCCAAGATCTAGATACTCCTATCTAATCGTCTTCTTTCAACTCTTCTTAGGTCTACTTCTATCCATCCCCACACCTTCTACCTCGAGGCTCTCACACCTCCTCAATGGGGCATTCGCCATCTCAATTTTCCCGTCATTTATTTACCACTCCCACCCTCCCTGGAACCTCACTTTAGATCTTATCATTTTCTGTATAACCATACATCCATCCTACATCAGCATCATCGTCTCTGCCACTCATAACTTAGGAACATGAGTATACATCACCACCCAACAAAAGAACCACTAAACTATAAATACAAAGAAGTGCATGTGTGTGCATAATAATACATTAAACAAATCCTAGAGGCTAGAGCGTGTCTAAAGAAAACTTTGCAAATGAGAGCCATAAATATAGTAAATAAGAGTCAGTTAACTCAATACCACAAGTATATCTATGAGATTGAATGTATATCTAAAGCAAAACACCATCCAACCCTCCAATTGACGTGGGGTGACATCAAACTCCTGCCACCAAACCTTCTCATCGTCATGTGGAAAAGAAACTTGGCGGCAAGAAAAATGGCACCTGCTGCAATGTGATGGGGCTTAAATTGCAAGCATAAAGGTGTCCGAAGCCTGCACGTGGCTTTCCCAGGTCATCAAAAGAGAAAAAGAAGGATCCCACTGGATCGTCTCCATACACAACAAAACCACAATAAAGCAATCCTACCCATTGTTAACAAAATTCCAAGCAACTTGAACAAGTGTATTTTGTGCAGCCTTGAATTTTTGAAGTGCCACAACAAGGGGTTTATATGGATGATGCACATTACGCTCAAATCCAAGTGTTGCGAGAACTACCCTCTCTCCCATCAAAATCAGTTCTTTTTGTTGTTCATAGACTTCCTGCATTGGAATGTCAAAATATATTATAAAGTTGAGATATGAAAATATCATAGCCAACCACCCAAGTAATTTTCACCATAGAACAATGACCGACGAAGAAGATAAAAATCGGAAAATGATAGTGATAGTGTACCACAATAGTATACACATTGATACAGTAAGTGATATTATCTTATGCCAATACCCTTTGCTTAATCCTTTGCATTGCTTTCGGATCCTTCTTATAAATAATCTCGTACGAGACAACTATAACATCCTTTAAGGCTCGAGGTGTTTCTTCAACTTTTCCGGCAAGGAACATACATACAATTGCAATAATCTGCAAATTATGTAAATGAGTTAGACACTCAGGTTTCCTCCCTGTCATACGGTTACAGCTGATTAGCAGTTTCGCAAATAAGGCAGTCAAATAAAATTTCATCATGAATAATTTTAGAGACACCACGGAATGCAGAACAAGAATTCCACAAAACTACCACTATGGCTGGTTCAAGGAATTTGAAAGGGAAAAACAAAAGGAAATGAGAGGGAAAACAACTTTTCTTGTTTGATTGGAGAGGAAAAGAAAAGAAAAGTAGAAGAAAAAGAAAATAAAAGAAGAAACGAATTAAAAGAGGGAAAACAGGTTTCCTTCTATTTTGGTGAGGAAAAGGAGAGAAATCTACTTTATTTTATTCTCTTTTGAATTCAACAAACCAAACATAGGGTAAATGCTTGTCTGGAAGATACATCTAGGTCA